TATTCAAAATTTCAGAATGAGGCTAATGTTAATGTTCACGTTTGCTGCAGCCGCTTGTGGTTGGGTAAGCGTTTTTTCAAACAAAACTCTACCTTTGAGAATTCAATTAGTCCAGTCTTGCACAGAAGTAGGCGAAAAAATTTGCGCAAGAAGATTGATTAGAGATTGTAATCCTTTCCCAACATGAATGCAACAATAGGTGTCGGCCAAATACGAACATTTGTTTATTACCTGTTTACTATTGTTTGTCTGTTTGCCCACGCTTTGTTTACTTACTATGTAACTTCAAAATGTTTTCCGCAATGCGCTCGAGCTTGAATGGGCGTGGCCAAAATCCACATGCCACAACGCGATTTTTGCACGAATTTTCTTCGCTGCTAGTAATTTTCTTGAAGAACCTGAAGAAGACCCCCACCACATATTGGAAACAAGTAAAAGAGTGACTTCGGCCATTTGGGTTAGATTGACCGACATGATTCCAATTCGATAAGGGCGCTGTAGTCAGAAACTTTGTAGTACGTTTTTCCCCTATACCGTTATGATTCATGGGTAAAGTTATGGGTTTCTAAAACTGCTCTTTCGTCACCGCTATGGATCGGCGATACGTCATTTTTCATGGGTCCTACAGCTGATTACACAATAGGCTAGCTATTCACCCTTTAGGCCAAAAGAGCCCAAAATGTGAATAAGGTGAATGACCCTAATTCCTTTCAGGTTTGCTGCTGCGGTCGTCCTCCACTTTATCCTTTCTTACGTGGAGTCTCCTACGATGGACTGGTGGAGTTCAGCAATATTTTGAATGTTGGTAGTTGCAAATTCGTTGTCCATGACGTTCAAAAACACTAAGCGCTGTAGTAGCAAAGTATTCCTTGAATCACGCGTACTTGTTCATCGTAACCCACTGACATGGAGTAAAACATCCGATGATAATCGGCCCCTCTTGGGTGCGCCATGCACTCTACTTGCATGGGATCATAGTGCGAATTTGGACTCGACCTGTTACAATTGATCTCGAAGCGCCAGCAATGTGCTACTGCCCCGTAGGAGCCGCGTTGATTTCATCCTCCTATGGACGATTTATTCTCGATAAAATAATTGATTACACCTGGCGGGTGGAATATCTTTGGTTGTTTGAGGCGAAAATTTGATCCAGGCTTTAGACCCCGTCGTGGAGAGCATCGCCATGGCATAACTCTTTGCGTAAATAATGAAGTGGCATATCATGGAGGATGAGTGGTCCCTCTGTGGAAGTACCTTAATCGTTATCCCCTCGCAACGGCTTGGTTTTCACTAACGCCACCTTGATTCACGTCGAAGGCTACAGTCCCCGAGTAATTTAAAAACCACTCTTTCGGCCAGCAGTGTAACTCGCTTAGCTCAGTTGAATCAGAAAAGCAATATGCGCTTGTTTAACAGGATGCGTCGTTGACTAGAGAACAAATGGAGCAACGACTGCAACAATGGGCCGACAAATATGGTGTTAGGGTATGTGACATCAAGAAATTAATCTTGAAGGCTGCAGCCCTGACATAGCTCAAATTCAGGCTAGCTTCGATAGTTTCGTGAAGCGAACAGACGAGATTAGGCAGAAAATGCAAACGGATATTGCAAATGCTTTGGATGGCTTGAAGGCTTTCTTTCGATGAATTGGCTAGGGTTCAAAACGATAAAAAGGTGTTGAGGACAATACTTCGTTTCAGTTTTGCAATTTTACTCACATTGTGCAATTACAGAATTGAGTCAGTGGAGTAACGTATGTACTTCGTAGTAGCAGTGCCGCCTAAAAAATCCCGAATCGCCAGGAACGAATCGTTTTGAGAACGACATCAGTTGCTCCTCTCCTCCCTCCCCCTTTCCCTCCGTCCCCATGTGCTGCCAACTGATAATCGCTTGCCAGGCGCTAGGAATGTAAAGATAGGTGTTTAAATCTCGTAATCGAGGGAAATATAAATGCTTTTACCCGCCCTTTAACCGAGGAAACGTGAATAGGTATCCTGTTTTTTTTTTCGTTTTGTGACATTCATGTCTTTGTCCATTTACAGTACAAAATCCGCGGATGTGAGGCTATGTGGCGGTGCCCACAAAATCGCGTCCGTCCCACGCGACCGAAAATGAAAAAGAGGCGCCGTCATGAATGTGTTAAGGGAGGGAAGCATCGCGCGTTTGAGACGCAAGCGCAACAATGGGCGACAACAAAGAGCTAAAGGCGAAACGTTGGGAAAACAACAATTCCAAACACCCTGTCTCATTTTTGGAGATCCTGACATCGTGGCATTCCAGATCAGCCTATATGCCCCTACTGTATTGGCCACAGCTCAGCTCAAGCAGCAGAATCTTCACAGCTTCTGCGCTTGGACCGCCGATCTTCAACGTAACCACATCGAGCCATTTGACGACGAGACTTATGGATCAAAATAACGAAAAAAAATAACAATTATTATTAAATGACCCGCCAGGTAAAGAAGAAGCAGAATAAACCTCCGAAAACGTCAAAAAATGCGTCAAGAAATATGTCAATCAAATCTAGCTTTATTTTTGGAGATATTTCATGTATTGGATGTGTTTCGCCAAAAAAAAAACCTTAGCCCACCTCTGTGAGACGGAATCGAGACGTCAGTACTTAGGTGGGACAAAACACCAACGCAACCCATACCACGAACATCGATCGCTATTGTAGAGGGGTATCCGCTGAGACAGAAAGGCGAATTTTCCAGCTTTTTTCCGCAGAGCAAAACGTTTTCACTACGAGATCCCAGGTCCACCACTGATGACAAAGAAGCTTATAATAACCCGAAGATGATAAGATAAAAGAAAAGTATAGTTCCGCGTGCCAAAGCGGAAAACTCAGCTCTCTCCTGGCCGACTCAATATCGACGCAAGATACCGTGCTCCGTTGGTTTGGGGTAGCCGTCTTCAAGAGAACGTAACACTCAGATTACCCCAGCTTCTGAGCGCGAATATGGCACAGCCCATTTGCTTTTGACACGAATGTGGCACGACCCATTTGCTTTTGAACGGCTCGACTCACATACAGGATTGATCCACTCTGCTGCCCGTGGAATGTGGTTCTGATGTGCCTTCACTTTTTTATTCACGCAAAGTTCTTCGATTCTTTCTTTCAGACTTTGACGATACAAGAAGCACGAACAAGGATCAGCGATATGTTCAACATGCTCACGATCAAAGCATCCCAGGTAGCATCCTGCGTACTGTGTGCATTCTCTCCAGAACCGGAGTGTGATTATGGTGGCTACGGAGGAATTGGAGGATACGGTGGTGGATTCGGCTACGGCGGCGGTTTCGGTGGCGGCTTTGGTGGTGGCTTTGGTGGTTACGGTGGTTTTGGTGGTTATGGTGGTTACGGTGGCTTCTTCCGTAGCCCCACGCCGTCTAAGGAGCAATCCCCTGCCAAGCAAATGCCCGGCGTGCAAAAGTCACCAAAAAGTAAAGGTGGACTAACCATTGAGAGCACAGGTATCGGCTATCCATGGCATACCGGAAGCTATCGTGTTGATATCACTCCTCCCAACCAAAACGGAGGGATTATGCGTCCTGGGGGCTTTGGTTTCTTCTATGGAAAGTGACGAGTAAACAAATGCTCCAATAAAAATTCCAAATGTATTGTGTAGTACATGCAAAAAAGCAGAAAGGTGTCACTGCTCATGTAACATTTCCTACAATCCAATGAGCAGAACTGAGAAGAAGACCAACATTTCATCAAAGGCAGTGAGCAAGACAGGTGGAGTGTAGTGCCACGGTAGAACGTCATTGGTGAAAGAGCCCCCATCGCGCTGGGGGCGTGGTTGGGACCGCCCAACAACGCCCATTCACCAATGACGCTGTATTGCGACATCTAGACCGCACCACTCCCCAGCCATGTAGATCCATGCCTTTAAGGGCAAAGTCCAAGATCCAACTGTTGTATTCTTGCGCTTGCAAAAGACAGTGGAGATGTGAAGTGTAACTCTAGCAGTAGAAAGACGGGGAGTAACCGTCGGCCAAGGCCGAAAATAAAAACCAGAAAATAAAAACCAGGGAAGGGCAATAGCGCTGCTTTATAGGTGAACTCAAGCAGGACGGGGCCAGTGCTATTATATCCTAGAATCTTGGCTTGTCCGGTCATCCCGACAATTGTGTCCGTGCTTTCCGCTTACTTGCACTTTTTCGGAGGGCGCGACGTCAGAGAAGAAAAAGGGTTTTGAAAACCGGTGAAAACTTTGGCAACAGCGTCTTTCATATTGCGGTCGAAGTTTGCAACGGTTTAATACTCGAAATCAAACCGTAGCGAAGCCTGCCGGCCATATAGTACATCCAAGACATCTCAAGAGAGAATTCCCTTACTGCATTTTACTTTTCGCTACGTGGCAGGGTTTCGAAGACCCATCACTTCGTCAAGCTACGATGCCCGTCTGAACCTTTGCGAAGAGACGCATTTTGCCGCGTGCGGACGCAGGCGTACTCATTTCTCATTGACATAGTTCAACTATCACACGGACTACATACCAGTATCAACTGCAATTTCTATCTCGCGGCGCACTTCTAAGGCGTTCAAGTTTGGACGACGCGTGCGACTTGACGACTTTTGTTTTGCCAGTGGGCGACTAGGTGGACTCAGGCGGTACGACAGGAGATACATGCGCATTAATTTTGTTGCTTGGCCCGCGATAGGCCTAATGCCTATCTTGCCTTACCCGCCGTTGCAGTATTACCAATCGCATGTACGATCGCCAACTTTGAACGCTCTATAATGTTTCTTTTCTGAAGCTTTCTCTATAATCTGTATGTTCATTCTTACGCCCGTTTTCCGTGCCGAAGTACGCAATAAATTATTTCATGTGTTTGTGTACATTTGTGAAAAACACGATCATTTATTATCCATACATAATGTGAATGTGCAGCGCAGCTTGATTAACATGAAATTCAAGATGCCAATGATGATAATTTGTCGGAATATTGTCGTGTACGATTCCAGAGATAACTGTTACTCTTAGCATCTGCACTTAAAGTGGTCTAAGCCTCTGCGCTTGAAGAGTCTTGAACTCATCCATGAAACGCTGTGTCTTTTCTTTGTATTTTCCAGGGAGTTTCGCCTAAAAGAATCCAGCTTATTTGAAATTGTCAATGTATTCCACAGTAATTATTTATTTCTATAAAACTATTTATGACTAGTGGGATATCCCATCAATTTCTGCCCCTACCCGATATCGTACCTTTCTGCGGTCTGATGATGGTTGATTTCGCAACGGTTGCAGCTATGGCTCATTTTCTCTTTGAAGGCACAACTTAGGCAGAGGTCGTGTAAACTCTTCCCTTTGATCTGTGGTATAGATCCCTAGAGGACAATCACAAATGTAGTGTTCCCGTGCACCCGAACTAACCGACAAGAACGCTGGAGCTTTGCAAAGTAAGCTGCTGAAGCTGCGCTCGTCCGTCGCCGTCACACTCTCCTCTCCGCGCTTAGTCTCTCATTCCCTTAGCACAGCTAAATTCCTGCCAACCAAATCTAGGACTTACGCGAATATAATCAATGACGCTCACGAAGACGAATACGTAGAGAATGTCGACCGGCACGGAACTGGCTCTCTGATCTCGCAGCTTCTTGAAAATATCCACCGTCTAAAAAACTACCGTATAATGAGAGTTGATGGGAATGCAATCTGTTCAATTTTCATTAAAATCTCGGAACTCTTCCAGCAGAATGTTTTCGATTTATAGCAGAGCGGCAAAGGTAGGCCGATGTCAGACTTTGCGAATCGCGCGATTCGCTAGCGTCTGCGGTCGCGTCGCGGCCAGTGAATCACTCAATTGGCTGGTACCGCAACGCGACCGCGGACGCTAGCGAATCGCGCGAATCGCTAGTAGCGAATCGCGCGATTCGCAAAGTCTGACATCGGCCTTATAGGGGACCTGTCATGTAATTCGGGAACAACTACTTATACAGCCTAGTCGCAGCATTAGGGCAATTCTTAGCATCAGTGCAGTGATTTTGTGAGTCTAACATCTCATCAATTCAAATAATATTTCCCTTTCTCACTTACATCTACTGGTTTTCCAGCGAATAGTTTTCGCAGAATCACATCGATCATTATGATGCAACCCGTTCTACCGACGCCAGCCGAGCAGTGCATCACTATGGGACCACAGTCGAGCTTATCAGCCTGAATTTTCACATTATTTCCTTGAGCTATGATCATAATAGAGCTCTGATGCCTCAAATCCTCAGGCAATCCGAGCTCTAACAGGCCTCTTGGCGCTACCCTGCACAGTGATGATAAATTGTGGGAGACTTACCACAACCTTCCGCAGTAACCGAAGTACATGACGACCACTTGCAGGAACGCCTCGATCAGGCCAATTTGTCATGTGAATCAATTTGACGATATGAGAATTCGAACAACCTTCTGGTACCAATTCGATCGTGTAAATGGTGAATTTGTCTTCTACTTCAACCTTAAGTGGGATTCTATAACGAAGTTCATCAAGTGGCCCGATTGCAGCCTAGAAAACCTTTTTAGTGTTCACGAATATCTTGCCATATGTTGTGAATCTACCAGCTTCTGTCGGCCAATACTGAGCGCATTTCACCTTTTCGTCTTCGACACACTGTAAAAGTCATATCGGGTACACGAACACCCCCCCTAGTAGCAATATTGACGATTGTCTAACCTTCGTTAAATTAACAATGCTCGGACACTGCTCTTGAAAAACCATCCTCCAAAAGTCACCTATTGTGCTTTCCAATGGGCCCTGAAACTCGGAACCGTTTTTTTTCAGCTGAAAATTATTCGCAAAGCAAAACCACAGTTGAAGGCACGGGCCTCAATTAGTTCTGCAGAGCAATTTTCCCCGTAAGTGGGGCAGCAGGGTCTCTAACATAAGCAAAGCCAGTAGTACAGTAGTGGCACTGTCGCGATCCGCGCTAAATCCTTGCTTTGATCGCTGCAAGCGTAGCCACTTTTACTCGTCCGCAGTGCACACGCTGTCTGCGCCCTCTCGTACGACGTACTATCTAACGTACTCCCTCTCCTCACCGCTCTCTGGCTCTCCACCGTGCCACGTCGACCTCACAAGAAAAGGAGGTCTTGTATAGTTTCCTTCGCTTTTATACCCAGCGTTGGTCCTCTTTGCACCTTTGCTCCATTTTCCAACGAAATAACACACCGATTTCGTCATGACCCGTGCCTTTAGGTTCTCACGAATCTCACCTGTGTTGCTATAAATTCCCGATCGTGCTTCTCGAATCGTACCCAGTTAGCATGTATGTAACTGGTACATGGTGGCACATCTTGTTTAAGTACTACCCTTGTCCTGTCTAAGCACACAATATCCTGAAATGGCACTAGTACAAGTGAGCCATTACGAAATCCATAAGAGAGGGTCTAATTTGTGATTAGCTTTATTGTGTTCCTGTAAAAAGGAAAGGACAAAATAAAGAACGGTAGCCGTCTAACCGTAACCGGAGACCTCATCACCTTGCTTTCTCCGATTCTCCAGTTCACCCAACTGCGCCCTGATGGTAAGGCCGACAGATGGTCCAATAAAGGAGAGCGCAGAGAAGCCCTTCCGAATAAGCTGTTCCCAATGTTGGACCAGCGCCGAAGGAAGCCGTGCAAGCTATGGTAGCCAATCATCGTCAGCGCTCAACTATCGTCATACAAAAAGCCATCAAAGAGTTGCCAAAATAGCATGTGAACAGATTCTTTGCGTCCAGAGCGCGGTTTCAGCTTTCCAGTGCCTAATCCAGCATTAGTGGAGAGCGATAGCACTACGCCGGCCCCTGCTTTCAAGTGGCAGGCGAGCCCTAAATATTGGAGCGAATAAACGGCGCATAGTATACTCTGCGCGGGCCTGCTCGACGCATTCTCTCTTCGTTGAGAGGGTGCAGAGAAGACGAGAAAATCGATGACACGTGAGAATGCGCGCCCCAGTGCAACGTCGAGAAGGTTACGGTATACACCCTATGTTCCTGAACTTATAATCTTGTCTACTATAAAGCTTAGTTGCTACGTGATTGCTCCACTACAAAGAGCCCCCTCGTTACTTCGGTGGAGTTAAGAGTAATGTTAGCATCGCTTTCTATAGTATCTTGCAATCTGTGCAATAGGCCGTAAGAATCATTACATTATTGGTTGTCTTGTCATATCGGTTGTCATTCAGTTTGTTAGTGTTTTCGCAAGTAGCTTTCTTTGTTGAAGTCCAGCTGCAGTGATAGTTAGTTAAAGATAGGACCCGATGTTCGGAAACGATACGTCATTCGGTGGAACAAAAAGGGACTTCAATGACGTCTCTCTAAACCCGCGCCGCCTTCCATTCACGAATCCCCTGCCTTTAAGTATGCTTACATCCCGCGTATGTGGCCTCAAACTTGACCTTATTTCAAGTCGCCAGTAAATGATGCAAGGTAAAAAGTTGCGCTGTATTGGGGTAGCCAATAATTTGTTAGTTTAGCACTCTTTCATACTTCTCATAACACTCTCAATTAGCTTCAATCACCAACACAACACGCATTTCTGATTTTTTTGGATCTTTCAAATGCTCACATTATAGCGGTTACGTGACGGATTCATGGAGAAAGCTGTGAATTTGTATATGGAGTCAGGAGGACGATAAGTGCAGATTTCCTGATACTGTTTTTTAATTCCTTCAATGCCTGCAAAGCGCTAACATAGTATTCTGCTCACAGAAGAATCGACACCACCTTGAACGATAAACGAAACATTCGGCGCTGATTAATCGCCTTTTACGATACGTCAAGCTTCTCACCCATCACTAAGACCAAGTCCACGTAGCATTCGATAACTTTTTCGATATCAGGAGATATAGGTGCTGTCACCTTCTCTGCTGAATTGTTTGTCTGAAAAATCGCACATTTTTGAGAGATCTTCCAATTTGTTACCTGGATTTTTCTTTCCCCACCGCTCTTGGATATTCAGCGCTTTTGATAATTCTAGTTTGCATATCCTCTACAGCTCACAGCGGGAATGAAGGAGCACAGATGAATGTCCAAAACGTTCCATGGGTTGGATTGAGTCTGGTCAGGGTAGAACTTCCTCTAGAAGGCGGAATCCGGGCTCACCCTCACTGAAGAGGTTCCCTCGTAGATGGAGGTGGGGTCCACCACTTCCATCTGCAGTAGTCACCCCATTTTCGCGGCTTTAACGCGTCACTTAGAGACGCTT